CATAACACAACTAGTGGTGTTATGGACGAGGTTATGAGTCTATAACACAACTATTTTTGGTGATTTGACAAATGTCAAAGGTAAACCTGTAAAGGTAAAATAAAGGTAGACAACTATTAATGAACGAGAATAATTGGAAAAATATTCTTAATTTTCGCTTTGTAGATAAAACGTTGTACATCACACGTGCGTTTAAACATGACTACTGATTAGAACGACTCGGTGTACGACCTCGTCGTCCTAATCCTTCACACTCGTTATTGTAATCATGCTCATAAACGCACTTGTAATGTAAATAACTATTATCAAACTCATTCAAACTAGCTTTTCGCAATTAGTGTTTAAATCAATATATTTTTTTTAATCAAGGTGACTGATTAAATTTAAAACATCTGTGAATTTTTTCAATTTTAACACCTAATTTAGAGACCAACTGAAGCATTTTATAGTGAATAACAATTTTTTTATTATTGTAAAGTGTAATTAGTGGTTTGTAGATGTTGAATTTGGTGGTACCATATGTTCAGGACAAAGTGACAGATCCATATGCAGATTAAATAATTGCCTAGGATACTCAAGGTCTACTTCATATAACCGACTTCACTGTCTTCAGATATATCAGGAATGTTTGATATTTCATAAATGTCTCCAACCCACTCAAAGTTACCTGTAGGCAGGGGATAACTCATAGCCGCTCCATAAAAGTTGACAACATCAAAATACATTAGATAGTAGATGGTTTGTTAGGGTCATATGCATTGCCCATATATTTATTATTAGCTTTCCCATATCGATTTGAACATTGTGAAATTCCTCCTCCAATACCTTTTTCAATGAACATAATCATATCTATATCAGATCTAATGAAATGTCATTTTTAACATACTATCGAAATCAAAACCTGGTGCAGTATATTATTGAACGGGATCTAATTCATAGGTGGTCAAAGATAGCTTACGGAAATTTTCAAAAACGTCGGCAAGGAGAAAGACATCAGTTTTTAAATATAACTCGGCATAATCTTGAATACATTTGATGTTAAAAGTAGTCCAAACATTTTGAACATGCTCATATTCATCTTCGGAAACTGTTGAGTTTGTTAGGTGACTGTAAAATTGTTGAATTGGTGGCAAACTGATGTCTTGCAACTTATTCCAACAGTCGATACACTCATAGGAAAAAACACCCTTTCTAGTAACCAACTTAAATTTAGGATCATTATTATAATAATTTCTTGTGATAGTTTCTTGATTACCATCCAAATAGGATGCCAATTTTTCTAGTTTACTAGACATAAATCTAAATGAATCTATGATCCCTAAACAAATTTTTGAAAAGTCAACATGTTTAGTGAATGAGATATATTTTTCTTTATTGATTGGAAGTAAGTCAATTTTGCCTTTTATTTCACTACAAAGGGCTTTATTGATAAAATAACTGTCATATCCCAACAGATTTTGAAAGATTACAGGTATGATATACATATTTATATCTAAAATGGTTACAGTTACAGGACTGGGGGGCCATTTTTGACCATTCGTAACTACCTATATAAAATCTAAGTGAATGTGCGAAGACTACGAAATCCCATTTTTGAGTATTCGCATCTTTACGTATGCGCACATACGTTTCAGTACGAGCGGCGAGAGACTCATCGATGTGTGGCGTATGCGCTGACGTACCTACATTTGTGGTTATATCGGCTGTTATTATTTTGTGAATGTGCTCGCAATACGAAATATGGAAAAAGAAGAGCAACAAAATCGACCAAACAACCAGTAGAACCCTCGAGATCCATTCATAGTGCTTAACCATCAACAATTTATCAAGTTGTTTCGCTTAAGAAAAGATCTTTATAATATATATTTGATCTAATGCTTGAAACCTCACATTCGTCCAGCACTGCAGATTAAAGACTTCATTGTATAACTACAGCATATACAAAAACAATCAGCAGTGTAGTTCAAAATACTCCAAAAATTCTATCAATTTGCAGTGTTGCCTGATCAACCCTGCGTAATCTTGCGAATGCCTAACTTAGGCGTCTTTTGACTTGCGCATGTCATCCAAAAATTGGTACAAAGAAAAGTCTACGTTTCATATCATGCGCATCTTTAAGCATACGCAAATTAACGTACATTCCCAAAAATTGGCCCCCTGGTGTGCAGCACCTCTATACTTTCCAGTTAAATGCCAATGATCTCGAACCCTAACATCAGATTCGGCGGAGAGTTTTTTACAAATACGACATGCTTTCGCTGTATAAAAACTATGTTCCTCTTGTCTACTTAAATTCATTGGAATAATATTAGAAATTATTGACTGAAACTTTCTTGCAATTCGTTCAAGCTCCCTAACAAACCATTCTTGACACTTTTGACCTGTTTTCATTTTAAATTCTGTGAGCGAATCATCATATTATGTACATTTTAGATAGTATGCTATACTGAATGCTTCATGTTTTTAATATTTTCTTGATTTTGTTACACCATTTCTATCGTCATATTTCACAAGCATACTTTCTAAATCAGCATAGACCACGAATGGAGCAAACAATTTATTTGAAAATTTTTTAAACTTTTAAATTCTTCCAGTTTCCTCAGGAAGGAAAACTTTAGCCTTGTTCAGTGTTCTACAATCTCGCAAATGACTTTTCAATACTCTCTCACTAGAGAAATGAATGAGACATCGCTCGCAAAACCATTTTTTGTGTCGATAGTTGCCAACTTGTTTACCCAATAAACGACTTAAATTTTTTATACACGCAAAATGAAATAATCTATTTTCTGGAATAAAATATTCATCTTGATCAAGTTTCACATTATTACAAGGTAAAATGAGTAAATTAACTTTGTTTGTATAAAATTGTACATTACTTAACATTAAAGGTATAATTTCACGTTTTTTCACACAAAAAACATTGATGGTCAAATTGTTTAAAGCCTCAAATTTTGGAATATCTTTCAAGGCTATGAGAAAAGAAATTCCTTCATAATTCGAAACACTTCTAAAGTCATCGTATGATGTCGTACGACTATTTTTTTTTTTTGGTTCAGGACCAAGTATAGCACACACCACAGACCACAAAAAACAATAAACATCGTGTTTTTCAATATTCATCACAGCCTTAGCTCCTACACCAATCGGATTATAAGAGTTTATGTTAACTTTCAAAAACCAAATTTCACATGAAGCCCAACCACTATCCCTTTCTTGAAACTCCTCCATTTTAAATAAAATTTTATCACACTCGTTCACATTGTACAAATCACTTAAATTGGTAGTATGTTCAATCGCACAATTTTTTGTGCCAAAGTATTTAGCAGATGTTTCCAAAGTTTGAGGTTTTATAAATAGACCCGAAAAACAACATCGACTTTCAACAATGAATTTTTAAGTTCTTTTTTAATTCTCAATGAAAAAATTCGAAATGCTAACTTAAAAAATTCTTTGGGGTCCTTTAGTTTTAAATTGTTAATAACTCCAGTTTTTATCCTCTCATTGAAACAAGAATCTAAATCTTGCCAAATCAATTTTCGTTTAGAAAGCTTGATTTCAAATTAAATTTGAATGTTTGTAAAAAATGTTTTAAAATGGTTAAATTTGTTTCTACCCTATTGAAACTACGTATACACGTTTTATTTTTATGGCTTTTTTTAAATTGAAATAGTTTTCTTAAGCGATTTTATATTAAATTTATAATCTTCTTTCGTTTTAAGTAATCTACTCACTAGTTCAAATTTCTGCACAGCTTCAGAGGACAAATTGTCTAGTACTTGTTGGCTCGCTATTGTTATTGTTGTTATTGTTGTAGTTTTTTTTGGTTGTTGCTGCTGCTGCTGATACTGGTACTTTGTGGAATGAATTAACAAGACGGTGGGCTTCAGTAGAGTGCTTTCACAGCTATCAGACCACATACCCACCTCTACCACGTAAAACCCCCCTCCAGCACAGCCATCATACCACTACCCACCTCCACTGTAAACCCCCTTCCCTGAAGCTCCTACCCTAAAATCCCCCCACTATGAGCCCCACCAAAGAAATTATTTTATTGCCCCTCCAGCACAGCCATCATACCACTACCCACCACTGTAAACCCCCTTCCCTGAAGCTCCTGAGCACTTTTTTGATTCAAGTGCCCCCGGACCTCTACTACGTAAATGGTTCACCAGATTCACAAATTTTGGGGTTCGCCCGGGTCAAATTCTAATTTCAGATCAAAGGCGCCGATTTTCCCACGATATCGAAAAGGTTCCCACGCTATCGATAAGTTCCCACGCTATCAAAAAAGTTCCCACGCTATCGAAAAAGTTCGCACGCTATTGAAAAGGTTCCCACGCTATCGAAAAAGTTCCCACGGTTGGCCCGGGTCAAATTCCCAAAATTTCAGATCGCCGATTTTCCCACGGTATCAAAAAAGTTACCACGCTCAAAAGCCTTCAACTATCAAAGCGATACCCACCTCTACTACATTAAAAAACTTCTACTCTGAAGAGGTACCATATTCCTTCAATTTCCTGAAAACTAGAGAATACAATTCCTTCATTTGTATTCGTGTTCAAAATTTTAGTTTTGCGGTTCTCAATATTTTTGAGTGGAAGCAAGTGGTGAAAAACCTTGCTAATTTATTGATACATCTTCGAAAAATATGGTTTGATTTTTCATTGAAACACAATCAGATAAAAAATCAAGTTATCATTTTATTAAAAAAATTATACAAATTGGAATTTTGAAAATCTTTTTTCTTTCCTAAATTTTTTTTCTGCTCATTTTTGGCGGGGGTCGACGGATTATGGGTTGGATACAACATCTGCTTCTGGGTTATTGCTATCTACCATAAAGTCCTCAAGAATTGTCGATGGTAGGGTTTTGTTGTTTGTTTGTTTTTTGCTCGACTAGTTGATCTGATGACACCGCATTGTTTGAACTTTTGGTGGGAAAAGTCATGAGTTACAAAAACAACGAACTTCATTAAAATCCCTGATAAAACAGTATTTTTTAAAATCCACTCAAGAATTGTGCTTTGCGATCTTCGAAAAATATGTTTTGATTTTTTATAAAAACCCAATGAAACAATAAATTAAGTTACTATTATTTTATTAAAAAATTATACTTATAAACTACAATTTTGCAAATCTTTCTCTTTCTTCTTGTCTAAACTTTCTTTTGGCTTTTTTGCTCAATTTCGGCGGGGGGCACCGGATAATTTTGTTTGCTGAGACATAAGTTTGTGGATTATAGCTCAACATTGGAGGGTCTTCATCCCAAGAGTAGTCTATGGTAAGGTCTTGATTCTGTTTAAAAATATTCATATTTATAGTTGTTTTATGTCTGTTAAGCTTCACTAATTTACTTACTTGATTTGATGACACCTTATCAAGCTGACTACTCCCGTCAGCAGAAGGGCTGCTCCGTTCAACCTGACTTATGGTTCCCTGCGGTTTCTATAAATTATCAGTTAAATATTTGTAAACACACAATTTCATTATTTTACTTTTACGCCAGTAGCTTTGTCCTGTAGGTGCCTTCGCCAATCAGGATACCTTACCCATCGATTGTCGCCGATTAATATTAACTGATCTTCCTCTTTCTAGGTTTGAAAAAAATTATAACAAACATGCTGTAATGTTCAAATATACTTACCGGGGGTTCCAGGGATCTTTCTACCCACTGAAATGTATTAACCGACATTTGACTCAACATCGGAGGGTCTTCATCCCAAGAATAGTCTATGGTAGGGTCTCGATTCTGTTTAAAAATATTCATATTTATAGTTGTTTTATGTCTGTTAAGCTTCGCTAATTTACTTACTTGATTTGATGACACCTTATCAAGCTGACTACTCCCGTCAGCAGAAGGGCTGCTCCGTTCAGCCTGACTTATGGTTCCCTGCGGTTTCTATAAATTATCAGTTAAATATTTGTAAACACACAATTTCATTATTTTACTTTTACGCCACTAGCTTTGTCCTGTAGGTACCTTTGCCAATCAACGTGCCTTACCCATCGATTGTCGCCGATTAATATTAACTGATCTTCTTCTCTCTAGGTTTGAAAAAAATTATAACAAACATGCTGTGATGTTCAAATATACTTACCGGGGGTTCCAGGGATTTTTCAACCCACCAAACCGACGTTTGGGGCACTTGCTATTTTAAAGAAAAAACATTACGGATCAAATTAAAGCGCTATATTAAACAGACTTACTTGAGTTTGAGCATTGCTACTTGGTAACATGTTTTGAGTCATCTTGAAACAAAAGCGATTGAATGAAGTCTCAGAAATATTGGCTCGTTTATATACGTTGGCTTTTAATTTTATTCTATAAATAAGTGGTTTTCAGTCTGCAAAAATATGTAATTATCTGGCATCTTTGTGTAGTTCATCGCTTTTTATTATGGGTGAAGATAGGTTAATTCATTATCTGGTCAATTATAGCGTTCGCAATACAAGTTTGTAAATTATGGATCTGTTTATCTCACGATGGTTTTAATTAAGTTGATTTAAAATGCAAAATTGCAGTAGGCCTCCATCACAGATTCTTTTTTTTCCCTATCCCATTTCCTATCTGTTTGTAGACATATTTGAAAGATATTTCAAGAAAATTTGAAAAAATGATTTTAAACATTATTTACATCAATTCAAACCGAATAATTTCGAAATAATATATTTTATTCGTAAGCGGTTACCCGTTGTACCTCATGCATGTCGGCTGCTAAAGGAATATACTTTTTTGTACTATAATATTGGACCATCGAAGAAAAAACTGGAGAAGAAAGTTGTTTTTGTAACTTATTGGTAACTTTCAGAGACATTAATATATTGAGCGATGATAATATTTGTGACGATGAAGACGTTAATGAAGTAATTAAAGTGCTTCAAGGATTAGCTTGTGATTGCTATAAATTGTGATAATTATAAAAAAACATATAATCATTTGAAAGTAATCATGCTACCAGCAGAACTCTTGTTTCTTTCTGCATTTTTAAATAGTACTTTGTTTATACAAGTCAATTACAATGTAAGAGAGACGTTTATATGTTTATCAGCTAACAATGTAAAAAATGATACATGGCCATCAGCATGGAAAAGAATGGATTATTTGAATAATGGTCTTTATTCTTATAAACTTGGAAAAAATATTGATAATTCTTCTAATGTTGATTACAAGTTACGGATTGATTTTGTAGATAGAAACTATGTAGAAACAAAAGAATGGCACAAATTATATGTAAAGCCATGTGAAAATAATTTAGATGTAAGGCTAATAATTTTCTCTATTATATCATTTCTATCATTTATTACTATATTATGTTTTCTTTTATATCATGTATATTTGTATTACAAATAAAAGTTTTTGAATTTTCATTTGTGTGATTTTTCCTTGACCAACTCATCCAAAATTTATGTAAAAGGTGAAAAAAGGGAAGGTATACTAATACCCACCTCTCAACATTTTCATCATGTCTACTTTGTCTTGATATATAAATGAAAAAATGAAAAGTGTTGCTATCATTCAGTGTCAAACTTTTGTCTGAGTATCAATAATAAAATGTTCCAAGCAACCAACTACTATCAACAACCAAAAAAAAAGGAAGAATTTGGTAAGAACCGAAATGGAACCCTAATTGGAGAAAAAAAGTACTACATCAACAAATCACAATCCAAGTGGGTCAGCGTTGGATTTTCCTTGGAGAGAAAATATATTCCCGTTGTTAAGCTAGGAGGATACAAAAATAAGCAAAATGTGATTTTTGATGAGGAACAATGGATATCCTTTTTGAATAACCAAAAAAATTTGTTAAGTTTTGTTTACTCTAAAAGTTCGGGATGGCAGTCTTTGTCAGGAAATGGCTACGAAATTCAGTTTGTGTTTATTGGCGAATCAAGAATAATCAAAATTACTCAAGATGGTGGAAACGAAATTTTTTTGGCTGGTGAAACTATAAATGAACTCATAAATTTGGTTAACTTGATAAAGTATCGTTTTGATCTACTTAAGAGTCAAGAATTTTTAAATTATTACAACAGAGTAATAAGCATGGTATCCAATAAAAATGGTGATTTGAACAAAAATGTATACGAGAATATTTCACCTTCAACTAACCCAAATAGTGAAAACGTTTCCTGTGTTCTGGAATTGCTAATTTTCCATTCTGATTGTATTATAGAAGATGTGGAAACATATGTATGTAACGAAATTGTTAATAAATTGGAAAATAAAAAGTATTAGTACCAACATACCTACTCTTTATTACCTCCCTCCACTAAACAAGTAATATTTAAGCTTCAGGAGCTGTATTGATATTATATAACTAGTCAAGATGTGGTTAGCTTATGTACAAGAAACTCCAACCTACAGCTTGACAACAGCAGTTGAAAATTTGGCACAACTTTTTGGAAATTTGGAATTTGACGCGGAGCATGAAGCTAATTGTGGATTTGAAAGGTTCAAAACGATCGAAGAATGTATGGAACTTGCAAGAAAATATAGCAAAGCGGAGGAGGCTTGTAATACCTACTTACATACTTTGGATCTGACAACATTCCTTACTACCATAAAACACATGGATTTTGCTCATTTTTTAGATAAGGTGAAAAGGTTTGCTCCGAAAGAAATTATTCAGGAAGTGTTTAATAATAAGTTGAATATGTAACTTATATCATTATCAAATAAAATAAACAAAAGTTCAAAAAATAAGTGTTTTATTCAATCATTATAAAATTATTATATAAATAGAATACATTACTAAGTGCACATATACATTGTGATTTCAGATGGTAAAAACATTCAGGCTGTCCTTTTTGAAGAGCCGGCTTATCTTCAAATTCTAGAACAGGCTTCAATGAGTATTTTCTAATGTATTCGGACTTCTCTTTCCCTTTTACGTAAACATTGTCTACTTTTCCTGTTAGATTTTTGACAATGTCTGCAAACTTATAAATTGGAGTGTATCCCTCGTTCCAACAAATACAATGATGATTATGAATTAACCAATTTGCTTGTTTACATAAATCAGGTGGTAAATGTTGAAGATCAAATGGTGGACTAAAAATATAGTGGCATATTTTGGTACCATCATAGGCAGCTAGTTCCTTGGGTATAAATTTGTTATTTTCTATTGTAAATCCTTGCACATCCAACACTAGTTTATTCATATTTTCATATTGGAAAATGCTTTAATCATAAACTTTTTTTCTGAGTATTCTTGTATTTGTATTTTTAATTGCTGTAACTTCTTCATGTAACGAGATAGTTGTACATCCAATTCGGTCTTCATGATACTGATAATTTGAGATAAATATCTGATTTATATAAACATAAAAGCATGCGCATTATAGCTGCTTTACTATTTTGGTTAGAGGATTATAGCTGAATATTTGATCATGAAGGATCAGACAGAATGCAGAAGTATCCTTTTTGACATTGGTGCTTGTTTCAAATTCAACTCTCATGACAACAGATCCTGTTTGAATGGACTCTTTCTGATGAGAACAGTCGATGTGTGTTATGGGAGAAATATTTTTGAAATCAGTGGGATTAAACACTGGCTCAGTTGCAATTCCATAATAGGAATGTCTGAAGTTTGCAAACATTTCGTTAAGGCAGACAAATTATTGTCTTTGAAATTTAAGTGCAAATCATGATAAGGATAACGTTCAGAATTTAAAAATACTCTTATATTAGTTAGATCAATATCATCAAACTGACTCATATCTTTTTTAACTTGACCTTTCCGATCTATTTGAAAGGCTACTACAACATGACGAGGAGATTCGAGTTTATTTGTCGTTTTCACTGGCCAGGTATGTCTAGTTGTTTCTGATATAGACGAATATTCAACAATTTCCCAACTTCTAAATCCTAGAAAGATTTCTTTGTTAGATTCTAGTATTTTTGATAATGCCAGTTGTTGAGGTATGTCTACTGTTATGTGTGGAATTTTCCAATACAATTTATCGAAGGAGATCATTGGAGTTTCATCAGTAATTACTTTGGTCTCCAAATCATCTTTAAACAAAACTGCATCTAAATCATTACTTGCTCTAATAAGAACTAATTCTTGTTTCATATTGATTATAATTTTTTTATAATCTTCGAAAAATCTTAAAAACATTTTTAGTGGTATAGAAACACAAAACTTTCCATTATCATCCACCAAAATTCGTTCGGCCTCTTGTCTTTTTGGAAACCAACCTGCATTCTGTAGTTTTAGACTTTCATTAGTATTGTGTGAAAGATAACCTTTTAGAGTAGAAGCTAATCCGACATTTCTCACAGAGTCTATAGTGACTCCGTTTAACTCATAACGAATTTCTCTAAAGAGAAAAGCAATACCGTTATTAACAAATCTTAACCTTTTTGTATAGGTTCCTTCATTATTGACTAATTTTCCTTCAATGTAAAGTAAGCTTTCTGATGGTAAAGTAAATGTATCAAGCTCTTGAATGGGTATTCGTATTTCATCATTGTAATCAAACTTTGAAGAGATAAATGGTTGGTAGGTGTGAAGTTCGGAACTAACAATAAAATTGTCTACGGAAAGTTTTTCGTAACATTTAAAATGTCCATTATATTAAAACTTTAAATCCTAAAGACGTGAGAAATTGATGATTTTCCCGTGTCAACCGGTTCACGTTTTCCTTGTTAATGAATTTGTTTTCAGATTTTTTTCTTTTATAAGATTTTTTTTCAAATAAAGGTAAAGAGTGAATAATGGAACTTCTATTATATCTAATAACCATTTCAGATACTATCTGTTTTTAAATGTAACCTAACAGTTATAGTTTCACCTCTAAAACTGATAAGATCTCCGTCCTGATCGACAACTTTTACGGTTATGTTGTTTATCGCTTTAACGCTGACTGGAAAATATAATATGGGTAAAGGTGATTCTACTATTTTATACCCTGGAGCTCCAGCTGGATAAAATTGATGAATTATATGAACAGGTTTGCCATTGTTGAATGATCCCACACAAATATTACAATCAATGCAAATTGCATTCACCTTAGTTATATTTGCAACATAGTCTGCATTATCTAATGTATTGGGTTCAACTAATCTATTTTTGAAACCCAATAATTTCCCTATTGAATCATCCTTTGTAAAATCGATGCGTTTACTACACATTATATTACATTTAAGGGTATTAACATTTGGTAGCAAAAAAAAAAACTACATTTTCGCTTCCAAAAATGCCTGTAATCTCGCGTTTTAAGTATGTTTCTATATCAGTAATATCATAAGTTCCATCCGGTATAGTTATTATTTTATCATCTATGTAAAATTTATTATGACCTGATTCAATATTAGGAATGGTCATGAAAGTTTCAAAATCTGCTAGCCCCAAGTAGTATTGTTTGTCATCATCTAATATATTGGTGGATTAAAATCTGCAGATAATACAGAATCGTTTCCTGATATCGCAATAGCTGTAGACATTGGAACTTGTACGATAATGTTTTTTCCTAATAGAACATGAAGCTTATATATTACTTTGCAGAAAAGAGAGTGCTAGTTGTCCACAGTTGACTGAATCATATTTTTGTTTATTTTCATAGGTGTAAAATACATTTGTTTTACCATTCGAATTAAAATATCTCACCAGTTCAAGAGGTGGTTTAAGGTTGCCATAACTATCAAAAAATATGGCTACATCTTTATTTTTGATGTAAGCTGTCCAATGAGTACCACCATGGTGTTTGCTATCTAAATTAACTATACCACATTCTACCTTTCGAATTTTGTTTGGAAGATCATCACGCATAAAGACACCTCTAAAATATGGTAGTTTGATTTTTTTTGATATATTTCAATAAATCAATATTGCTAAGTGCTCGTCGTGGTAATTTTATTTGAACTTTTTTTTTGGATTTTTTTTTTTCAATGGATCCACCTTTAAATGGTTTAATGTATAATCCCTTCCCTTTAATCCGTTTATTTTTTTTAAACCCAATCCTTTCCCTTGTGTTAGGTTTTCTATAGCTTTATTATGACGTTGAAGTTCCTCCAACTGTTGTCTGGATGCTTTAGCATCGTTTACTGCTTTGGCAATCGACACGGCACCGCCTCCCAAGGCGCCGATGGCACCGAAAATAGGAAGTAAAAATGGTAAAAAACCACCAATTTTTTTGGGTGTTTTTATAACACGTTTTTTTTTTAAATTTTTCTCATACCCATTCCAAGCTTGCGTTTTCCTTTCATTATACCAGCAACCATCAATGCAGCGCTTTTTTCACCGAGTGAAGAATCTGCAGCTTTTACTCTTGTCCAAGCTTTTTTCTCAAGAATTTGATCAGCCTCGTGTCTTTTTGCTAAATCGTTAGATTGAAAATATGCTATATCATGTTCCTGACATGCAACATCCAACGGATTTATACCACTATCACCCCTAGCTAATCTTTTTTCTAACTCAGTTCCTGGGCCACAATAGTTATATCCGCCTGGTATATGAAGCTCAAATGGAAGCTTATTAATTAATTTGTTAACTAAACCTGAACCTTTTTTAAGTTTCTGGTTTTTAGTAATATTGTGTATGATCATTAAAGAGATTAATCCGATACTGAATCAAAATTCAGCGTGACTTTGTTATAAATACTTCCATACTTAGGAGAAGGATGTCAGTAATATTAAAACATGAGGATTGAAAAGCAAAAATTCTCTTTACCTGTAACTAATCATGATGAAAAAGTATTAACAAAACAATTTAGAAAACATGGTGATTTATTTTGTGGAGGATCTAAAAGAGGGCTTATTGTCGGTTGTAGTGGTTCTGGTAAAACTAATGTAATGCTCAGTTTATTCGAACATCCTAATGGTATTAGATTTGAAAATGTTTACGTTTATTCAAAATCATTAAATCAACCAAAATATGAATACTTGAAAAAACTTTTGGAACCTATAAAAGAAATCGGTTATCACGAATATGATAATGATGAAAGTATCATTTCTCCACAAGATATAAAACCAAATTCAGTTATAATTTTCGGTGACATTCCCTGTCAAAACCAAAGTGTTATAAGAGATTATTTTACGCAATGTAGACATCAGAATACTGATTGTTTTTTTATATTTCAAGGCTACTCTTCAATTCTCAAACATTTAATCCGTGAAAATACAAATCTTTTAATTTTATTCAAACAAGATTCTATGAGTATAAAACATATATATAATGATCATTGCATAATGGATATGACATTTGAGCAGTTCAAGAATATGTGCAGTTTTTGTTGGGAAGACCCATATGGATTTCTTTTAATTGATAAAGATTGTGCAATAAATGCAGGTAGATATAGAAATAAATTTGACACTTTCATATATCTATAAAAGTGCAATTTTCCACTATTTGTTCTTATTAAGAACTTGTCTAAGATGGATGAACGTTTAGCTAAGGAGTTAATTAAATCTAGAAAATCAGTGAGAGAAAAATATCATAATTTGAAACTAGCAAGCACGACAACACAATCACAATTGGAACAAACCTATAAACCAATAACAGAACCACTAAAACAACTAATTTCTACTATAAGTGAACCGATAGTACTGAAAGAAGAACCCTTTAGTTTAAAAGAAGAATTTGTAACACCAAAAAAAAAATACGAAACTTCAACACCAAGCAAACAGAGAATAGTTCGAAAAACAGGAAAAACTCCCATTTTACGATCAGAGATACCATCATTTTTTGATACTAGTGTTGCTTCTGTTAGTCAATTTCCTTCTATACAGGAAACAACTGTTTTAGCTGAAACTAGTCCTTTTCCAAAAGGTAGTACTAGTGAAAGTTTAAATTTGTCCGATATATTGGAACAAACTAAGCAATCAATTAAAAATTATATAGAATCTTACCAAGTGTATTTGTCAGATTTTCATAAATTACCTAGATCCTATATTGATGGAAGCGTAAGGGATACAGAACATAAATTCGATCATAATTATGGAGTAGTTCATGATATTGATGGTGAAAATTTTTTTCTGGGTCTAACACAAAAACCCGTGAAAATAGTTGGTAAAAATATTGTAGTAGAGGGTAGAACTTATGAGGGTACTGTGGGTTTATACGAATTACTTTTTAAAAAGGAACCTGTTGGCTTCAAACCCAAAGATTTGGATAATTATATGGACATTTTGAAAATAAGAAATGCATACCGTAGAAATAATGACCCCAATGAACAAGTTCAAGGAACCGCATCTACAAAATATATTACAATTATAGGTCCATATCTTCAAAAGAAAGGAATTACAAAATCTAAAACAATAAATCCCGTTAGACCAACTACTGCATTCGAAAAACCTATTGCCCCATATCGAATAAATACTCGTAAAGTTACTAAAGGTAAAGGATTCACTTTAAAAATAAATAAAACAAACACAGACTATGTGTACTGGAATGATGTAAACGAACTTATTGATAGACTGCGTTTTTTGGTAGCATCTGTTAATGCAGGCAATACTGCTCATCATAATGAAATTTTATCTATTATTGAGGAATTAAAAGAGGCTAATATTATATTATAAATATCAAAAACTACATAAACATTACAGTTGTTTATCATCAATCAATCATGACAGTTATTCGGTCGTCATATTTCGAAACGTAATTCAATGAATAAAACGTCACTAGAAAATATCGATTTTTCTACCGTTGAAAATACAATTTTAAAGAACTTGAAAAAAGACCTAACTTATTTTGGAAAAAAAATAAATGAAGATTTTGAGAATAGATTAAAACAGGATGTGATTAATGTTAATGAAAGGTTGAATGAAAATGATGTAAAAATCGAAAATACTGCAAAAAAAATTAAGCTTTTTGAAAATGATTTAAAAAAAGACATTATTGATTGTAGTGCATCAACAAAAAAAAATTATGAAAAGCTAACAAAATTTGAAGGTGATATTGAAACAATAACAAAATATCATAATGATGTTATTGATTTGAAAAATTATTTTGAAACCGAAATAACAAAATTAAAAACATACATGAATGAAACATCAAAAATCGATAGTGTTCAAAAAAGCATAGAAGATAATCTCAAATTAAAATTTGAAAATTTTTCAACCAAAGTTTATGATAGAGTTACGAAAGAAGTAAAGTACTTCAAAAATAATCATGATAATATTGATAAAAATATAAAGCGCTTGGACAGAACTTCAAATTTAAATGCACTACTACGAAAAAAAAATACTGACGATATCGCATTTATAAAGGAGCAATTAAACACAATTTTGACACAAATTCCAAAGCTAACATCGATACAAAGTTCAAGTGAAGAAGAAGTACGTAATCTTAAAATTAAAATAAATGACATTGAAATGAATACTAAAGAAATTACTGACTTCAAAAATCAATTAAATAATATTTCATTGGACATTTCGAGATTGTCATCTGTACAAAATTCAAAGATGGAAGAACAACTGAAACTCACAACCGGAATTACTGAAATAAAATCGATTATCAAAGTGATTACCGACCTAGAAAATCAATTCAAGATTATTTCAATGAAAGTTTTAGATTTGGGAAAAAAAATTGATGAAATAAAAAATCTAAAGGTTGATGAAGACGTAGAGTTCAAAATTGATCAAAAAGTTGAACAAATTAGAAAATATGGAACCAAGGATATTGAATTATTAAAAGAAAAATTAAATACAATTTTATCACAAGTTTCAGAATTGTCTTTTACACAAATTTCAGGCAAAAAAGAAATAGAACAGCTTAAAATTGATATTGATGACATTAAAATCAACACTAAAGGAATTACTGATTTCAAAAATCAATTTAATAATATTTCAACAGAAATTTCCAAGTTTTCCTTAATGCAAAATTCAAACAAAGAAGAAATACTAAAACTTGAAACTCAATTGACAAAGATACAACTGGTTACTAAAGTTGTTACCGACCTAGAAAATCAATTCAAGAATATTTCGAAGGAAATTTTAAATTTAGGTAAAAGAATTGATGAAATAAAAAATCTAAAAATTGATGTAGATTCCAAAATTGATCAGAAAGTTGAAAAAATTGAAAAAGATATTCAGTTATTAAGAGAATATGTTGAAAATGAGGACAAAAAATTGAATGTGGGTATTAAAAAAATAAATGAAACTATGGGAACCAAAATTAAAGAAATAATAATTGAAAATCTCAAAGCAGAAATTGCACAAGTGAAAGATAAAATTGAAAATATAAGTACAGCTCAACTAGACAAAGTAAATAATCTTCTCAATGGACAAAACCTGGAGGAAGTATCGTTGACAAAAAGATGGTTGATATTTTCTATTCAATCTACAATTCCAACTATAATTAAGAAATTAAATGAAGAATTGAAGAAAATAGAAGAAGAAGGGTTAGGTGATGTCGAGAATAGAACAATTAAATATCTAAGAATCCACGTTAAAGATTGTCTTGATAATATAAATGGAGAAATTGACAAAATATTTGAATATTTAAAGGAAACAGATGAAAAAATCATGATTAATAAATTGGAAAAATGGGTGGAATCTTACAAAAGCTATTAGGCTAACTATTATTTAAAAAAATTTAATAAATGAGGCTACAAAAACAAATCATGATCAGTACTAACTAAATTGTCTACCATGATAAAAAAAAATGTAAAATGACTACCATTAAGGATCAAGTAGTTAATGAATTACACAAAACTGCTCGAAGAAAATATAAACGAAGAAGGGTGATTATTAAAGGGTTAAATGATCTCTTCGAGGCTGATCTGGTTGAAATGCAACCTTATGCTAAGTTCAATAAAGGATTTAAATATATTCTGATAGTTATTAATGCGTTTTCAAATCATGTATGGGCGGAGCCGATTAAATCAAAGTCCAGCAAGGATGTGACAGCAGCAATGAAAAAAGTTCTCATCAATGCAAAAACTACCCCACGAAATTTACATACAGATAGGGGAAGAGAATTTTATGGTCATCATTTTCAAAAACTCATGCAGCAATATCAAATTAATCACTACAGCACATTTTCAAATTTAAAAGCTAGTGTTGTGGAAAGAGTAAATAGAACATTGAAAAATAAAATGTGGAAACAATTCAGCTTACAAGGAAATTACAAATGGTTAAATATTTTACCAAAAATAGTGACTGAATACAATAACACAAAGCATTCTACAACGGGACTTGAACCGTCTAAAATATCTAAGAAAAACGAAAAGGAAATATTTTCAAACACTTACAAACACATAAAAAGTATCGATCTTCGAACTTCAAAACTCAAAATCGGTGACTTTGTGAGAATAAGTAAATATAGAGAACTATTTTCCAAAGGTTACACACCAAACTGGTCCAACGAAATATTTAGAATCAAAGAAATTAAAATGACCAATCCTACAACATATATTTTGGAAGATCAAAAACAAGATGAAATTCAAGGTGGATTTTATACAGAAGAACTACAAAAGGTTCAAAATCCTGACGTTTATTTGGTTGAAAAAATTTTAAAACGAAAAGGAAACAAAGTGTATGTTAAATGGCTTGGAATGGATAACTCATTTAATTCTTGGATATTAAAATCAAATGTATTATAGAAGGCTAAATCAATAAAACACTTTTTTAAATTTTTATTTCATTATTGGAAAATGTTTTTCAATCCAAATTTGTGTTATTGAAAAATCCATTAGTATGAACTCGTTGCTGCACCAATCTTGATTAAGTCAAGGCTCGAGGGCACAGACAAAATTTCGATGGTACCTCGAATTAATTTTTTTATTTCAAGTCGATCTTTGGTCCGCGGCGTCCGTCGGTGCAAGTTTCGATATAATCATAGTTAGTGGTGATTTTTTTTTTATAGCAGCCTGCTTGAGGATATGAATATTGAAACACAAGTGTAAGGTAAATTAAATAGTGCATTTATTTTTAAAATTAAACTTTAATCAATTAATCAATTAAAAAATTGATAATTACCTACCTACTTTCTATAAGTCTAAATAATTATTAATAATAAAAATAATAATAATAATAATAACAAGTATATGAATAAGCTTAAATTAGTTCCATTAAATGTTTTTGTTCGGTTTCTTTTCTGAAATTTTCCTCAATTAAATGTTTTCTGCTATTAATTATATTTAGAAGTTGCTTACAGTATAAAACTTTTTTCGAATACATTTCCATTTTTTGCAAAATTTGCTTTTCAGTTTGATTTAGTTCATCTAGCTGAAAAGATTTTTTCAGCTATGATGACAGCTTCGGCGTTCATTTCTTCATTTTGTTCCATTTCATCATCATCTTCATTAGCAAGACTTTCTGGACTTGAAATGTCAATAATCTCGATTTGAGATTTTTCTTCTGGACACAAAAATTTCTCCAGATCCTGGTTGATCTCCATTTGAATTTAGGATCTGGAGTCAATATTGATTCGATGGCTTTTTCGATTTCATCTTCGTTTTTCTGATCGGTTCTTCTTATTAAATGTTGTTTTATTATGATTTTGTTAGCACACATTTGGGCCAACTCAAATGCAGCTGGTTTGGAACACATAACTAAAAAAATTTAAAAAAAATATCCTAGACTTAGGATTAATATTTATTTATACACTTATTATTATTATTTTTCTTTATTTAGACTTATTATTATTATTTAAACTTATTACTTGGACTATTGTTTAAATGCAACTATGCAACTGAATACTGGAAGATTTCTAGTCCGCTTTTATTGGAAAATTGTAACTTAAAAATGGGTATTTTTGATTTTTTTATTCAATTTAAACAGGGTGTATACACTAAATGATAAAATTCCCCCAAAGAATTTTAAAAACGAAAATATGGTGGGAACTAATTTTTGTAATTCAGTTACAAAATGTCATCTTTTCGACATTGATTTTAGTTGTCAAAAATGGTTCATTCTAACACAAACGTCAAAAATAAACAGTGTGTTCTAATATAGTGTTAAAATGAGAAGTGGTTCAACACATTGTGTGTAAAAAACACGCTCATTTTACAACTTGTTACATAAATAACTATTGTTTGATATTCGTATCCCTCCATTATATATTGTTTCCTGTTTCGTGGGTTATGGGATAGGCAAGAAAAGACTAATTATTCTTTGGCTAACTATTTTGCTTTGCAAATCTCTAAAGCCATTTTATTAGAACAAATATATTTCTATGTATTAAGTAAAAGTGTATGACACCAATAGAAAATAAAAGTTTAATTGGATAAAATTGGTTTGTAAGTCATTGAAAAATTTCACATGTTTAAAACCTCAAATAATAAATCCATAAAAATTTAGTAATATTTTGATTTCTGTAGCCCATGCATTGAAAGTTTTTCACCCTGTACTCTTAAGGTAATTCCATTAAAGTGCATGCAATTTAAATCTGGTCTTGAGATATAAATTATTCTATGCGTACTCCCTACATAATTATACTGTCTGTAAAAATGCGATGATCGTTGAACCTAAATGGCCGTGAACATTTTTATGAAAACAAGATCCATTAAAATTTCTGCACTCCGTATATGTCTTCAATTTTATCTTATAATTAAACAACTTCATTGTCTGTAAAAAATGCATTTTGTCGAGTTCATTCGTTGCACTTTAAATGACCATCATTTGGAGGTCGTCTGGTTTTAAACTTTGGAAAGAAAATGCAATAATTTTTTAAACGATTTGGCTTTATTTGAAATATTCATACATAATTGGATAAAATCATTTTATTACAATAATAACATTTTTCTTGTGAATCTGGTGGACCATCAAAGTGAGTTCTCCATTCTGATCTGTTGTGATGAATATGGCATGGTAACTTAATTTGAAGAATGAAGTTATTTTTGTAACTTATTGGTAATTTACCCCACGATTCCAAAAGTTCAAAGGGCTTTGCATGTTTCAATAAATAATCTAACGGAATTCCCAATAGTTCTTCGCTTGTAAAATCTGAGAGTAATTTTTCACCATTCATATGAGCTAGAACATTGTCTATAGAAGAACAACAATTCATTTTTGAGTTTTTCAGTATTGGTGATTGTTAATAACTTTACTATTTTTGCAATATAACTTTGATAGCAATTAAGCGTTAAGCGATTAACAATAACGGTCTGCTTTTAATTTTGAATCCTTTCAAGAGCTTCTACATCCCATGGAGTTTGCAACACTATTGAGGAATAAAAATTCAGGAATTGTTTAAATATTCTTTAATTTTCAAGAAAGTGTAGAGGTGGGTATTGGTTTGATAGCTGAAGCCTTTTGAGCGTGGGAATTTTTTGGTATCGTGGAAAAATCGGTGCCTTTGATTTGAAATTTTGGGAATTTGACCCGGATTAACCGTGGGAACTTTTTCGATAGCGTGGGAACTTTTTCAATAGCGTGGGAACTTTTTCGATAGCGTGGGAACTTTTTTGATAGCGTGGGAAAATCGGATCCTTTGATCTGAAATTAGAATTTGACCTGGGCCAACCCCAAAATTTGTGAATCTGGTGAACCATTTACGTAGAAGAGGTCTGGGGGCACTTGAGTCAGCTTCAGGGAAGGGGGTTTACAGTGGTGGGTAGTATTGGTTTGATAGCTGAAGCCTTTTGAGCGTGGGATTTTTTTTGGTATCGTGGAAAAATCGGTGCCTTTGATTTGAAATTTTGGGAATTTGACCCGGATTAACCGTGGGAACTTTTTCGATAGCGTGGGAACTTTTTCGATATCGTGGGAAAATCGGATCCTTTGATCTGAAATTAGAATTTGACCTGGGCCAACCCCAAAATTTGTGAATCTGGTGAACCATTTACGTAGAAGAAGTCTGGGGGCACTTGAGCCAGCTTCAGGGAAGGGGGTTTACAGTGGTGGGTAGTGGTATGATGGCTGTGCTGGAGGGGGGTTTTACGTGGTAGAGGTGGGTATGTGGTCTGATAGCTGTGAAAGCACTCTACTGGCTTCAATGACATCAAAACACAAATAGACCGAACAATAAAAAAAATATTCGTATGAAAACATCTCTTTTGGGCCTTTGTGCTAGCCCCACCACTGAGAATGCCAAATTTTGTTTTGAATCCCTAAATAATATATTTTCCTCCTTTTCTAATCAGCGTTTTCAATTATTCCTGAACTCAATTTGTAAGGCATTTCAAAATGCGTTACGTGCTGGGTTTGACAGAACCCCTCAAGAGGAAACTTAAGACGCCAAACTCAGAAATCGCACAGTACAAAACAAAATGCGTGAGACACCTTTTTTCTCGAGTGAAAGATCAAACAAAAAGCGATTTTAAAAGCAACGTTATCTACAAGATCCCCTGTGGTGCTTGCGACCACTGTTACATAGGTCAAACCAAACAGTTTTTAAAAAACAGAATAGAGCACCGTAGAGATTGTATTATAACGAATTCGGATAACCCAAAGACGGGACTGGCTCAGCATCATTTTGAAGAAGGACATGTATTTAAATTTCAAGAAATACAAATATTGGACTGTGAGGTGAATTTTAAAAAGAGACTTTTTCTTGAAATGTGTCATATCCATAACAACAGGCCGAATGTAAATTTAAATAGAGACACACAGAATCTCAATATTATTTATAATAATATAATAAGTAATTGTTCAAAAAACACATAATAAACATAGGTACCTACACTACCAAAAAAATTCATACCACACCTAGAAAATTAACACAATTTAACATCAAATCAGTACCTTAGATTTTTGCGGCAATGATGGTAGTCCATAATAATACAAACATTTTTAACGTTTGCAGTTATATAATGTGTTTGATTTTTAATTAGAATAATCTGGGTGAGACTTTTTGAGCTTTAATAAATTAAGGATATTATTTTAAGTGTTAACGTTTTTAGGATAATGATTGTGTCTTTGTGATATCTTTTAGTGATTTTAATTAATTTTTGTATGATGATGTGATCATTTTCAGCTTGTTTTAATATGTTGTATGTCATAAATTCGCCTTTTGCGTCACATAGCCCTAATTAGTTAAACAACAATTTTTTTAATATTTTTAAAATTTTTAAATTTTTTAAAATTTTTTGGTGTTAATGTCCTTTTTTCTTGTTAAACTTGTATTGTTTCGTTTTTTGCAGCCCGATGATGATGCTAACCAGCATCGAAATGTCGGCTATTTGATTTTTAAATTTAATAAATTAGTCCAAGAAAGCTGAATATAATTTCCATTCCTCATAACCATATTCGTGGACGTGATACTTTTTCGACTCAAGAATAAAGTTGGGGAGGCCATTTTGCTTCATTTTCAGACGCCCGACTACACATCATAAAAATACTATACACCACACAAAGTAAAATAGTTTGTATTGTTCTGGTTGCTATAATAGTTACGTGATACTTTTGTCAACAACTGATTTCTTGATCTAAATTTGACAAAAACTCGACCTATTATACGGTAAAGATGAAAATTTATATTTTGAAATATTTTTGATTGATGTCATTACAAAATTTAAAATATATAATTTTTCGAATATCAAAATGAAAACATGCTCATCGTGCATAAAATCTTGTATGCACCTCGTTCAAAAAGAGCTTTAACGCCCTCAGCGTGTAAACAAACACATGCTGCGAGCGTTAAAGCTGTACTTTTTGACCTAGGTGCATAAATAACTATTATCATTCATTACAATGTAGCAAAATAATGGTAAATAATTATATTATTATCAATACATTTTTTTGGTTGTTGGTTTGATTACTATTATTATTTAATCGGAAGAGAAATTTGAATAATTCGTAGTCAACTAGCACAAGACGAAACATAGCAGCAACTCCAACCACTTAAGTCCTTTTCTCAGAAGATAGAACACTGCTACCAACAAAAAGTCTCTATGCTGTGGCTAAGCATCTCTTCCAGTAAGTACTTGTTATTGTCTTTTTCTATTGAAAAAAATTAATTTCAGTTTTCGAGTTTACTGTGAAGTTGTTAAAATTAAAAGTCTGCATTATTTTATTTTTTCTGTTTTATTTAATTTTTATTTTATCTTTTACCGTTACCATAACGCCAATGTAAATTTTTTTAAAATCTATTTATTTTATTTTTTATTTTTTTAGATATGGTGTGAAGGATATTTCTCAAAAGGTTGACAAAGTAATTGTCAACCTAACCTATTCTCCAAGAGCAGCCACTCTAAAAAGAAAATTCGGAAATTTGCCAGTTCGGTATATGCGAACTAAAATCGAAAGCGAGGAGGAGTTTAAGCTCCTGGAACAGGTTGTGAAAAAACTCAAATCAAACCTTCTGGACGAAAACCTCCTCCTCCCAACCTAGACGTTTGCGGATACTCCCTAGAGATAAGGGAGTGAAACGAAAATTGAAGATCGATGAAATATTTTCTACCGATGAGGATGCTAATGATGCTGATGATGATGATGATGATGAGGTGGCAGAGGCACAGCAGCAGCAGCAAGCCTCAGCTAGTGCTAGAGCATAAGATTAATTATGTTAGTTATGTAAAAATAATAAAAAAAAACTATATAAACATTTTTAAATTTTTCAATTTGATTTCAATGTTTTTTTTTTAGATTCTTTGCAAAATATGGGATGCCAGATGTTGTTTAGCGTATTGATTGCACCCACGGAGTAATACATCCACCACCTATTGAACACCATATACAGTGAGTTCATAAAGTCCCGCATAAATTCATTATTTTGAAAACGGTAGAATTTTTGAAAAATAGCTCAGACACGTCAATTTTGTTTTTTTGTTTGAAATTTTTCGATACATTTTTTATTATACAGGGTGTCTCAAAAATAGCTTTGCTGGTATCAACTTTATTTTTTTAAATGGTACCTCCTGTATATTATGACATTTCTCGATTCTGCGAAAAATTCTAGACATATTTCATGTATATTGTCATATACCTATCTTCAACTGTTTCGGAAATATTGATCGTCAAAAAATGGCTTTTTTGCAACTTTGACCTCAGGCTGTAAAACCTAAACGGTTGATTTTACGGCAAAACCGATTTCACATTCTCGTCTATTCTGTAGCTTTTTATAAGCTATCATTTGACACCAACCTTGAATTTAACCGGAGATTAAATTTAACCGGAATTTTTAATCATGGATTAACTTCAAAGATGGTGTCAAATGATAGTTTATGGAAAACTAAGATGAGAATGTATGATCGGTTTTGCTGTAAAATCAACTGTTCAGGTTTTACAAAGGTCTGTCAAAGATCCAAAAAAGTCAATTTTCAACTGTCAATATTTCTGAAACAGTTGATGATAGGTATATGACATTATACATGAAATATGTCTAGAATGTTCCGCAGAATCCAGGAATGTCATAATATACAGGGGGTACCATTTAAAAAAATAAAGTTAATACCAACGAAGCTTTTTTTGACACACCCTGTATGATAAAAAATATATCGAAAAATTTCAAATAAAAAAACAAAATTGACGTGTCTGAGCGATTTTTCAAAAATTTAACCGTTTTTAAAATAATGAATTTATGCAGGACTTTATGAACTCACTGTATACCTACCCTGAACATGTGTATATTAACCGAAAGGGGTATCACTCGATAAATATTCAGTTGGTAAGTACCTATCTACTATTTATAATAATAAGAAAGTAGGTAGGTGATTACTCATATATTCCGTTATTAAATGAAAATCTCAATTTTGCTTTTAATGGACAAAACAACATAACAATGTCCTGATTATATGGGAAATTCCTTGCTAATAGCATATAGGAAATTTTGCCAAGTGATACGCCATATAAGTGTAACTAACTCATGTAGGTTATTTGTTTTAGAAGAAAATTAGTATATCATTTCGTAAGTTTTTAGGTTGCTTACGTCCTTTTGGATTTGTTTTAGATAAGTGATATTAATGCAAGCATTTTAAACATAAATGCACGGTTCCCAGGGTCGACACATGACCGGTTTGTTTACAACAACAGTATGGTTCCTAATTATTTTGAAACCCTGCATCGAAGGAATTTTAAAGGATACCATTCATGAGCATGTTTCCTATTTCCAAAATAAGACAAGCTGAATATCCTTTACAAAATTGGCGCCCGAGCAGGGACAGTCTTCCACCGGTCTGCGAAAAGCTAGTCGACCTGACAGCAGTGTTAGCAACCTCCAACATCACCACTTGAACCGTCCGAGGTAAGTCAACCCGCCGTAACCACAATAATAGGGGTCAGTTCTTGCAGGGCCGCGAATTAAACCAGAAGGAAAAAATCAATTATATAAGCTTCACTAAAAGATTTTCGCCTGGTACCTGGGACGGGCAAATCTTTTCCTGCAATAGGGGTAACTCTCTATTGCTCTTAAAACTTCGCCCGGTACCCTGGACGGGTAGTTCTGTAAGAGAGATTTTCGCCTGGAACCTAGGACAGGTATTTTTCTTCGAAGCCTATATGGTATCTCCAATCCGTTAAATATATGATTCGAGAACTGACGCTTATCTAGTTGCAGGTGGTGTCTGTACATTTGCTTGGGTCACCGGAGTTTATTTTACCGCTTTATTGCTATTTAACACTTGTCGGTCGCGTTAACGTTGCCGGAACTTTTAGAGCTATCGGAAAACTGATAGTTCCGTTATCACTGCCGTTAACTTTTCCGGAGACGCTTCTCACCGCCCGCATGGTCACGCTTTTACCGCACACACATAATTTTTCACCCAATTAATTCTCTCTCTCACGCATCCCCGTTCATTCTTTCACAGGGTTAGTTAAGGGTTTTTCCTGTAAATATTATTCAGTAATACAGAGTGTTATATTTATTTGAATTTATCGACTGTTATCTATTTCTTTTCCCCAAACCAAGGTTTTCAGAAAGTTTTACAGAGTAAGCGTCTATGACCCCTGGATTACCGTTTCTCCACTGTAACAAGCTACCTGGTGCACGTGGGCCCTCAACCACTTTAATCCTGAGGCGCCCGAGGCAAACCGTTAGATAAATCGACTCACACTGAACCCGTGTTGATTACGCAACAAAAGCGCCTTACAAAATTGGTGATATTAATGCAAGCATTTTAAACATAAATGCAAGGTTCTCAGGGTCGACACATGACCGGTTTGTTTACAACAACAGTATCGTTCCTAACTATTTTGAAACCCTGCATCGAAGGAATTTTAAAGGATACCATTTATTAGGTGAGTATGTTTCCTATTTCCAAAATAAGACTAGCTGAATATCCTTCACCTGAAAACTTTAAAAAAGTTAAAGTTGTTTTTTTGGCAAAACTTGTAGCCAATTCATATAACAGCACTCTGCTGGTAACCTTATAATTTAGACGATTTATGTTCCAACTTTTTATTTTGTAATCATGGAAACTACACATTCATATATTCTATAATCTATAGGAACTTAACTTTTGTCATACCTATATTTTAGATGACTCCGGTTATGTGGTTAGGCCCTGGATGATGACTCCGTACCATGAGCCTGGAGAGGACACACCATAATTTAGATTTAATAGGGCTCATAAATCTGCAAGGAGTACAGTTGCGAGGTGCAATGGCATTTTTAAATCTCGTTTCCGTTGCCTCTGCAACCTCACTACGACCCAATAACGTCGTCAAAAATTATTAATACTTGTGCTGCTTTACATAATCTGTGCATTAAAAATAATGTACCTCTAGATGAAGAACCTGTAGCACCGGAGGACAATATTGATAATTTTGATGAGCAATTGGCAGATTTACGCGTTGTTGGTAGGGTAAACCCTTCACTTGTAGAAGGAATGGCATAGCGGGATGAAATTGCACTTCAATATTTTAATTAGCAGTTGTGAAAAAAAAGTGTACTCTGAAACGAATAATTATTTTAGTCTGTAGTTTGTGTGTTCTTGTTATGTTCGTTCTATGTTACAGTCCATTTCATTGCAGTTGGCAGTTGATAGCACAAATCGAGGGTTAGGACCATAAAACCTATCGTAAAGCATAGGCGCGACGGCAACAGGTACATACTATCACTGATATGGAAATATGGATTTTACTACCATTCTATTATAAAATTATCCTTCGCTCATATCCCGAACATTTTTGCTTACATTGTAGTAATATCGTATCATGCGATGACTCACAAGTATAAAGTAATATAAAAACAAACTTTTTTCAGCATTCCCCAAATCCCAATCCAAGGCTCTCATTATATTGTCTTGTGCGATTGACTTCACATTGCGCGTAGTTTTTCGTTGAAAATTGTTGTTATATTTTGTTTTAAAAAGCTGTGGATTGGTAATTAATATGGCGAAACGGGTTTCTAGTGATTATGGGGGTGAAGGGAAAGAGAGGAAACGTAGAAAATTCCGTAAACTTAAAAGGAAAATGGAGTTAATCCAGAAAGAAATAAGGAATTTTTCCTCCGATTCAGAATCTTTATCGGATTATGTGAATAATAATGATGTGAATGACGCTCCAGGTAGGAATCATTCTTTTTTTAGTAATATTTTATTATTTTTTATCCCATCTGTCGATTATTTTGTTTTTCTTTCTCCAATTTTTTTAACGCATTCTTTTATGAATGGCCGATTAAATCCTAATGATTTTCCATTGGGTTTTTAAAAAATAAAAATAAAGAATAAAAGGCATTCTTTATGAATGGCCCAATTATTGTGAATTAAATTAACGCAAGGCATTCTGTAGAATGGCCACCCGAATCTTTATGATTCTTTATTGCGATTTTGAAAGGCATTTTTATAAATGGCCAATCTTTATTTCATATTTACAGATGTGAGAGATCAACAAAACAAAATTGTGACCATAGCCGATGTTCATGTTTCAAATGATTTTGATTTGGTAATCAATGAGCCCAGGCAACAACAGGGGGGTTATGTAAATGACATAAATTTAGTTGAAGGGCCTAAAAATCTGGCGTCAGCTTCTGAGGAAACCCCAATACTTATATCAGTTTTCCCACCAGAAGAAAATCACGATAATAATGAATTAATAATTTTTTTCGGGCACGACCCCTCGGAAAATACAAAATTAGGCAACCCAATGTTGGACGGAATCGCAACCCGATGGTCGCATGTAATAATAAAAGGTTTAGAGATAGATAAAAAACAAAAATTGATTGAACAATATCTTGCTGCCCAAAATTGTACTGCTTTATTAGCCCCTATTTTAAACGAAGAGATTGCAGCCGGCCTAACACAGAAAATAAGGTCCGAGAGGATAAATAATTGTCTGAAATTCAAACCCAAATGGCTGCTGGTCTAATGGCGTTATATGAGCCAATTAACACATTGGTTTCAGAAAAAGCCTCTTCACATGATAAAAATAATAAACTAGTACAAAAACTGGCCGATTCCACAATAGTTATTTATGCACCTAGGTCAAAAAGTACAGCTTTAACGCCCGCAGCGTGTGTAACAGCCTGAGGCGTTAGCCGAGGGCTGTTTACACGCTGAGGGCATTAAAGCTCTTTTTGACCGAGGTGCATACAAGATTTTATGCACGATAGCATGTT